GATGAGTTTGTCTCTGCGATGATCCGACCGACTGAGTTGAGTCCATCATATCGATCAAAGTTGCTTTTTCCCTTCTTCCTTCCTTTCCTCTTCCTTCATCCAAGGCCCGGCGCCTTTCATCACCGTTTCTTTCTCTTCTCTTTCGTCGTCGTTCTCTCTCTCTATTCACTTCTCGCCTTTAATTCTACGGGACGGAGTCCCTGCACCTTATCATACCTTTCCTTTCAGCATTCCTTTCAGCGTTCCTTTCATCGTTTCTGCAAAGCTACACGGCTTCGGGAAAGTCGTTGGAGTTCCGAACACCACCAGTCATGCCGCGCTTCACACCGGATCCGTCCACGCGCAATCGTCGGCCGGCGAAAGCTGCTTCCAAGTCAAAGTCCAAGGCGAAGAAGAAACAGACGGCTGCTCCTCGTCCTGACTCTCCCTACAAGGTTCAACCCAGGCAGTCCCTTCCCAAGGAGACCAACGCCCCCCATCAGCCCACACACTCGTCCAAAGGCAAGCAAAAGGAGGTTCGTTCCGATCGCGCTCACTCCTCCTCATCTCAACACCTTGAAGCGAGAGCGCAGGTCCTCGATGCTGCGTCTGTACCCCCATTGTTTGCCTCGAGCTTCTCCTCGTCGGTCTCGGCCGCGCCCTCTCCCACCGCAACCACAACCGCAGTCTCCAATCCCATCGCCGACATCCGTCACAACACGCCCCTTCAGATCTGCATCGTCATCGGCGCCGTCGTCATCACTGCAACCCTCTCCGTCGGCCTCGCATGGATCCTCCGCATGGTGTGCTGCTCATCCGAGCGAAAGGCCAGGCGACGCAGGAAATTGGATCGCTCCACCTGGAGCCCCTCAGCCCTCGCCTCGGCCAAGGCAGACGCCGAAAAATCGGGCGAACGTCTCTCGTTTGACAGCGTCACCGTCACAGGCGACGACCAAGATCTAGAGCGCAAGGACGCCAAGATCGACGCCCTCTTCGCCGACACCACCTCCGACGGCCACCTTGGCGATTCCATGCCCGTGCTCGCCTACACCGATGCCGTGACCAACAAGTCTGACGCTCCCAAGAGCACGTGGAACGGCAAAGGCTGGACCCTCTTCGATCCCCCCCTCGAAAGCGTTCAGCCTCCCCCGCCAGCAGCTGTCAACCCTACCGCCCAGGCCGCTGGCGGTGGCAACTATGGCGCCGCCAGACAGGAGCTCGCCGACTGCGACGTCGGCGGATTCACCTGGCCCGCCTCCGTCAACCGACAGCCTAGCTTCATCGAGAGACTCGTCCAGAGGCACCATCAAGCCTCTGAGCTTCCCACCGCCGCGCCTCTCCCTTACCCCTTCCAGCCAAAGCCGCCCCAGCCAGCCTCCCGCATGGCGAGCTTGGGCGGAGCTGCCAATCGCGCCGTCATGAACATGCTCCCCGTCACTCTCCGAAACGCAGCCACCACCGCGTCCAGGCAGAGAGCTACGCGCAAGCGCTACAACGACATGCAGCCCTACCTCGACAGCGACTTTGAAGGCACCATCGGCGGCAAGGACCGCGAGCTGCCCATGGCACGCCGTCTTCGCCGCACCGAGCATCGCTTTGCAGTCGACTACACCACCGAAGAGGAAACGGTCTCGCCTCTCGACGACGCCAACTTGCCCGCCGGTCCCGCCGCCGACCATCTGCGATTCCCAAGAGTCAATGCGCTCATTATGCCCGACACCTCGACGGCGCTTCGCGACACCAACGCTCAGCGGCCCGAGTGCACGCCCGGCCTCGCAGGCGTCGGCGCCGCCTGGTCCAGGCGAGGCTCGCAGCAGTCTGTTCTTGTGGCTCCATTTGCTCCCGTCGTTATCAAGTCGGCCGCAGCCGCACAGCACATCCCCAAGATCATCGAGCCCAACCGCGCATCCATGTTGCCTTTCCCCGCCTTGGAGGGCGACAGGCGCACCCGCCTCGTGGGCAGTGTCGGGCGCTGGCTCGGTCAGGTCTCCGAGGCGGGCGAGATCGCCGACCCCTATACAGCACTCTCGCCTCGCCCCGATCGCAAGCTCACCAAGAACGGCAGCCTGCGTAGCACCTACACCTCGACCACGCTCGCCGACTCGACGGCATCCAATTCGGAAACCCAGGTGGACGCAACCAGCACCGAAGCCTCGGGCAGGGCCGAGCGCCTGCTCCAGCGTGTAGACGCGGATCAGGCCGAACACGACCGGCAGCAGCGCCGTCTGCTCCGCAAAGCGCGAATGTTTACGTCTGCTGCTGACGCACAACCCGCCACGGCCGATGCAGACCGAGCTGTCGAGGACCAAGCTGCTGCTGCCAACCTCAGTCGAGCTCCGAGCATCCGTCCCCACTTCTGTGCCACCACAGACCTCAAGAGCTGGCTCGAGCCGAGCAAGGTCTCCACCACCCACGGCTTCAAGGTGCTGGAAGAGCAGGATGCGGCCAGCAGCGTGGCAGCCGATCCCTTTGCGTCCGACGTCGAAGTGCCGCGGGCTGGAGCGAGGAAGCTGAACAAGGACGCCTCGTACGACCCGTTGGTCTCGGATGCGCGCGTCCCCAAGGCCAAGCTGCGATCGTCGGGCTCCAAGCAGAATCTGCGCTCGCCCGTGACGGCGACTGCTCGCACCGGCGTCCGTGGCGCCAGCAAGCAGAAACGCGAGACGCTGCGCTCCATCAACACGCGCATTGCCAAGAAGGCGAGCCAGGAGGCGCTGCCGTCTGCATGCCAGAGTTCCGCGGGCATCACGATTGTATCGTCTGTATTCGACGAGGCATTTGCAGCTGCCAACGCCAGGACCAGCGCGCAGAAAGCTCCGCGTCGATCGACGCAGGCTGCGGAAGAGGCCAAGGCGCGAGCTAAGGCCGAGGCGGATGTGGCGATGCGCGATGCTTGGCGGCGACGCAGGATGCTCTCCATCAGCTCGCGCGGCAGCCAGCGCACGCGCTCGACGCTGCGCACGATCGAGCAGGGCGGTGCTGCGCTCAGCCGCCAGGAGAGCATGCTCTCGGCGCCGAGCATGTACTCGGAGCTCACCGCGCCGTCCGACTACCAGTTCCAAGCGCCGCTGCTCTCCGCCGCCGGAGGGGACGCAGCACTCGCCGTTTGCGATGCCAAGCCCGACGCTGAAAAGGCAGCCAAGAAGGCAGCCAAGAAGGAGGCCAAGAAAGAGGCCAAGCGTGAGCAGAAGCGCGCAGAGCGCCAGCTGGCTCGCG